GGGCGGGAATAGGACAAAGTGTGCCAAAGAAACCAACTGCTGCCTAGGAGTGAGAGGGCATCCTGGGTTAGAGGTTCTGCGGAAGCTAAGGCGACGAAAGCACGCAAGCGTAGCCCTTTCTCCTTGCTTTCTTTTACCTTAGGGTTCAGTAGCAGCGGGGACAGCCTAAGGCTCAGTGTATGGCCACGGAGTTACAGTGTCCGGACTCCATGCCCTGTCATAGCCAGCCAGTAAAGTCTGTCTCAACCCCAAGCCCAGAGACACTGCAGTCTGGAGACCCAATCGCGGACTTTGTCCAGGGAAACTGCGCCTCCATGGCTAAACTGACTCTCCTGACGGGGCACGCCCATTCTAGCGTGCCGGACGAGAGGGACCCTCAGGCCTGTGGCAGCAGCCCTGCAACCCGGAGAACAACAGCGGCAGTGGTGACAGTAGTAACTCTGATGTGCCAGCCGGCGACTCCTTCCTAGGGGATTTCGACCTCTCCCAGCAGATCGGGGCGCAGCTTAAACTGCTACCTATGAATGATCAGATCCGGGAGCTACAGACCATCATCCGGGACAAGTAAGCAGAAAGCAGAAGGGAAAGGGAGTTGGAGACAGGGGGTCGTGGGAGGAGATTGGAAGTGAAAGGGCAAAGGGTTAGTGTTCTTGGCCCTACCAAACTGGAACTTCTCCAAAGACTGGGGCATAGCCTTTTCATTGGGGTGTGTGTGGGGTGCGGGGAGCGGGGGTGTCATGTTACTCCCACCTTCTCCTAGTCCCTGTGTTTAATTTCGCTTTGTGTAGGGAGAATGCCTTTTAGGTAGCCTCTGGGTTTCTTTGTGTCTGAGTGATGATGAATCCTGAGCCTTTTCTAGCAGGTAAACACCCCTATGCCATTTGCCTAGTGCTTGTCCACGTGGTCAGCCTATAACCCAGAAGTGGTTACTACCCAAGGTTATGCCCTACCTCCAATTACCTCAGGTTCACAAATGAAAAAAAAGTATTGTTAAGGAAGTTCTTACTGTACACCACAGACCCTCTGACCCTTTAGTGTTTGCTACTATAAATATATTGTTTTGTCTAAGATCTTTCAGTCTTGGAACTCAGGTTTACTTGGTCAGATGAAAGTTTATTAGCCAGCTCTTCTGACCAGCAGTTGGCGTAATGGCTAGCTAAGTCGCTGGACTCCCAAGTAGTCCACCGCGGTTGGAGTCCTGGACCCGGTGGCTTAAACTCACCCCGGGCACGTGTGCATGCGTGCCCAAGATCATGGAGAGGAGACTAGAGAAGGGATTGCAGTGTGGCCATGCCCCCTGGTGGGTGATTTCTCGCTTTTTGTCTGTCTCTTTCTGATGAGCTCACGCGTCCTATAGCAAAAAAAAAAAAAAAACCGTCT